GAGGCTGGAGGCTCACACTAGACAGGCAAATGCAGGGCACATGCACCACCATCTCCTCTGACTGTGTGTCATGTGTCACCTCTCATGCTGGGGCCTCTTCCAGCTGAGCTGCCTCAGAGGCCTCCTCCACCCTGGCTCCAGGGATCAGTCCCCATCCACTGGCCTTGGGGATTGCAAGTTTCCCAGAAGCAGACACTGGGAAAGGGGAAGTGGGCCCAGTAAATAATCACCAATGTATGTGTGTGTGGGGGGGGAAACAGGGAAGGGAAGGGAGCCACTGAGGCTGCCACTATGGACAACTGAGGCACCAGCCCTGCTCTGTTCAGCCTCATGCTCTCCACTCACCTCCCCCACAGACAATCCCATGACAAGCCAATCCCGGAGCCTTTTGTCAGTTGCTCACAGTAGTTTTAACTTTGTTTTAGCTCTTTCTGCTTGTGCTTCTATGAAATTGTTTTCATCTTCCTGAGCCTGGATCTTTCCTGCAGGAGTTGACATCAACTGTTCTTGCTCTGAATCTTTTTAGTACAATGTTATGCTACAATTCACATAATGTTCCTCAGTACAGGTGTAAACATGTCCAGGTCACCAGACACTTCTGTGCTGGCATCTTCCTCCAATCCAGGATGAAACTTGCTGAAAGCATTACCTTTTTCTACATCTAGTGCTGAACTGCAAGTGGCCTGTTCCTTGTCTCACTGTAGAGAAAGTCTTTCTTTGACTGCTGAGAAAATTCTGCCTATAAGCAAATAGGAGAGCATACCTGAACTATCTCAGCACCTTTCACAATTTCCCATTAGTATGCAGGGACAGCAAGACTTGGTGTTTCATCATCAGATGATTCTGCCATGAAACTCTTCAGCATCACCTGGGTTCTTTACAAATGCAGATCCCAAACAGGATGAAGTCCCTCCATAGTAACCCAATCTCCCCAATCTCACATAGAGGTCCCTGCAGACGCTATAGCCTTTTGGAACAGATCACACTGCAGAGATCACTGTGCTGGGTTCCACCAGGAACCAATCGTGTGCCAGGAAACCAGAGCTGACCGTAATATAATTATTGTAGTAGAGGAAAATAAACAGGAAATAATAAACATAGTAAGAGTTAATAGCATAATATGGATTAAACTGGAGGACATTATGCTAAGTGAAATAAGCCAGTTACAAAAAGACAAATACTGTATAATTCCATCTATATTAAGTACCTAAAGTAGTCAAGGTCATAGAGACAGTAAGTAAAAATGATATTCAGGGGCTGGGGGTGGGAGACAGGGAAATAGGGACTTGTTTAATGGGTACAGAGTTTCAGTTTCATGAGATGAAAAATGTTATAGAGATGGATATTGGTGATGGTTGCACAACATTATGAATGTATTTACTACCACTGTACTGAACAATTGAAACAGGTAAGTACAGCCTTGTAACACAAAGTTTACAGGATCTGCACTGTCCAGCTGCCAAAAAAAAAAGAAAGACATATATGGAAACTAAAACAAATTTTTTAAAATGAATAAAATAGTTAAGATTGTAAATTTTGTTATGTGTATTAAACCACAATTTAAAAAACTGGGGAAAAAGAATTAATAGCAAACTTATTAGCAACCACTGTTTTCCAACCAGATTGCCCTGGTTCAAGTCTTGCCTCTGCCACTTATCAGCTGTGTGACCTTGAACAAGATACATAACAAAATTTCACTTCAGGTGTTTAGTGCTTAAATTGACATAATAATAGTGTGGTAGGCTGAATCATGACCTCATCACCCACCAAAGATGTCCATGTCGTAATCCTTGGAAACTGTGAACCTGTAAATGTTACTTTATTTGGTGAAAGAGACATTGCAAATGTGATTGTGCTAAGGATCATGACATGGGCAGAGTAGAGCTCCTGGGAGGAACCATATCTACTGACACCTTGAACTCAGCCCAGTCCAGCTGATATTGGACCTCTGAACTCCAGAATTGTAATATAATCATTTGTATTATTTTAAGACATTAAGTTTGTGGTGGTTTGTTAGAGGAGCAATAGAAGCTAATATAAATACTATCTACCTCCTAGGTTTATAAGAAAGACTAAGTAACATAAAACATGCAAAAGACCAAAAACTATGTAAACGGAATCAGAAGTCAATTGATGGGGGAAGGTGTTCACAGACGGGAGATTACAAGTTTTGATAAGACACTCAGGATAGTGTAGCCCCCATTGAGAATCTGACTTTATATACCTGTACAAGACTTCCTGTCTGACCGCACCACTGCCAACCCTTACATTAATACATTTTCATTTTCCAATCAAGAAGGCTTAAAATGTATACGATAGATTTTAATTTGTACTTTTTATTTTTTTCATGTTTAATAACATTTTCTCTTTCCCCTTTGTCCCTCTTTGTGCTTATCATGATGAAGACCAGCATGGCTTCTTGGGACACTTCTTGTTTCTTACCTACATTATGCACAGAAGAATAAAAGGCTGCCCATTAATCTTACAATTAATAATGCTTTATATTTAGAACTTGCACAGAAGAAATGGCTCTGAATTGGGATATGATAACCACATTTCTGTGTTTTATATGACATTTTAATATGTTCACATTAGATAAGTGGTAACATATGTGGTGGTAAACACAAATGTTAGAGAGTATAGGAAATAGGTGTATTTGTACAGCGAAACTTCAGAAACTCTCCTTAATGAAGGTCGGGTGTTCATTTGATCTTCAGGTCATGGGAAATGTGAGAAAAGAGGTCAGAAAAGGAATACCCAATAGGAGAAGGAAGTGGCCAATGCCCCAGAGGAGGGAAGGTTGCAGACAACAGCACAGCAGCAGTGAACAATCTGCCTTTCTTCAGACAGGATTGAAGCAGATCTGGTATGAGGGTGGCACAGATGCCAATCCACTGGCAACTGGGGTGGTATCAAGGTCCTTTGGATCAACCAGAGATTTCAGGTTAAAGTTCTGTAAAATGGTGGTCAGGAACAAAAACAGCTCCATGCGGGCCAGGCTCTCTCCCACACAAATCCGTTTTCCTGAAAATAACAAACACAGAGGGTAGTAACTAGATGTGTGGAACTGTGATTGGCACAAACACTGCATTGGTGACAGGCACACATGGAATATGCAGTAACTGATGACAGATTCAATGGATGGGTGGATGGGAAGAAGGAAGGATAGCTGGAAGGATGGTGGAATAGACTGATGGGTGGAAGAATGGACACCTAACATCTATCTGCCTAATATCTGATCTTATCAGGCACTCTTCATTCAACAAATATTCATTGAGTATCATCTCTATGCCCTTCATTAAGTATTCTCAGATTATAACTGCTCTTTTGACATGTCAAGTTTCCATCTACATTTTTCAAGAAACACACCCACATTCTTGTGTTTCCTGTTTTGAGTATTATGTTCCGGGATCTTTCCTTCATTCTTCATACCCTGTATGCTCAGCTCTGGCTGTACACATTCTTCATCAATCTCGAATACACTATGTAGTTTCAAGTTCTATATCATGCTGGTCTTTTTGATTAAGATGCACTTTGTTTGTACTACATTCAGCAGCTAGGTCCTCTTTACACTCTTTGTGATTCCCTCAAGCAAAAAACCTTGCCTTCTCTGGGTTTCCTCAAGATTATATTCATGCTTCCATTGAAGCATGGCTCACCTAAAATCATAATTCCCTTCTTATTTATTTTTCTATTGTGCTATAATTTGAATTATTGAAGGGAGATCTCTGTCCTTGTCATCTTGTTATCCACAGTGGCAGTTTTAAAGCAGGCATCAAACATCATCCAGAGCCCATGGACAGAGACTCAGCATACACATTTCAGGATTTGAGATCACAATTTCCAAGATATATGATCATGACTGAAGGAAGGGTAGGCTGCTCTGGAATTATGGCAAAGGATCCTGCCGTATTCCCAATATTACTCTGACCCTGTCATTATCTGCAAAAGGTTCTGATACCCTAGATCTAGAGCAAATGTCCTGCTCCTGTGGTTTATTGCCTCCTTAAAAAGGTCCTGCCTCCTCTTCTTTCCATTTTCTCTGACCCCTTTGAGGCAGCTCAAATGTCATTTCTCCTATTAGAATGTTGCTTACTCCATTTTATGTCTCTTTGTGGTGTATGAGAGAGCATAAAGTAGGCAGCTTCTCTGCAACCCTGAAGCCTCTGTCCCCCTACAGTCCTTGCTTCCCTCTCTCACAGAACTAGTTCTATTGGAATTACTCATGTGCCTTACTAACTCAGAAGTGAGCCTCTTAAGAAGCCATTCTGAGCTTGTGGGCACTGATGAACACTATGGAGAAGACACTCAAAGTTGTGGAGTTCGAAACCTTTCTCATAGGTGGTTAGGACAGCCTACAAGAGTTAGAAGAGGAGTTCTAGGGTGCCTCAGTTTTATATCAAGAGGCAGAATTCAATCGTCCCATACTCTAGCTTTCTGAATCTGGAAGAACTGGGTCAACTCCCATGAGATTCAATCATGTGGCCCAACAATGAGGATGTATTATGAGCAGGAAAAATGTGTGGGTATTAGGACTGATGTTCCTGATCAGGTCCAAAAAGCAACTCTTCCAGCACCAGAGGAGGCACCATATGATTTCCAACTGATCCCCAAAAGCTATCTTGTTCCCTGACATAGAAATTGTAGTGAATTTCTATTACCTGCTGAGAAAGGCATAAAGTAGTCACTTTTCTTAAAGTTTCCACTCTCATCCAGAAAGTGGCCAGGGTCAAACACCTTTGGGTTGGGGAATTCTTTCTCATCGTGCAGCACAGATGAAAGTGATGTAAATATGGTTGTGCCCTAGAGTAAACACACAAAGATAAACTGAGTGACAGAGAATTGATGGAGCTGGAAGAAACAATGATTATCACTTACTTGAGTCTCTTTTATCTATACATGAGGAAACTCAGGTCCAAAAATTGCATTTCCAACCAGACAGACCAATTAATAAACAAGGATTAGTTTAGGGCTAGTGTGTGTGAATTTGCCAATGTGGCCGCCAAACTGATGTAGTGGAGACATTAATACTTGTGTGCCAAGCCTTCTCAATCTGTTCTTCTTATCAAGTTTGGACACTAGTGTATGTCCCAACTTATTGCTCTGTTTCGTCACTACAGTTTTCACACATCTCATGTATAGGTTATGTTTTTAAATGGAAGTCTGTATTGGCATTTGTAAAGTCCAAAGTGGGGGACCTCAGGAGGTGAGAGCAGTCCCTACATACAGCTGGCAAGAGTGTGGGGCACTATTGCATGGGTGGCCCTCTGCTGCTGCAGATCCTGCTGCCACGTGGGTAGTCTACCACTGCAGCTGCCACAGCCACCAATGGTTGCAAGGGAAGCCTTCCAACACTAGCACCACAAAAGTGTCCTGCCATAATAGCAACTGCTACTGCCAACACAGCAGCCACCACTGTCACCACAACCACAGATACTGTGCTGCTAGCCTGCCAACCACTCAACTGCACTGACATATCATCAGCAGAGACCAGAGGAAAAAGGTAATGAGTGCAAATTCACAACCTGTTGGCCCAACCCACAAGGGGATTTACAGTGCCCAAGACAGTAATACACCTGGGGGTCAGAGGTACATGTGCAGCTCAGTGCAGAAACCCAGGATAGCCAAATAGACCGAGGAAGAGAATTGCCAACCACCACCAACTCAGTCCCAATGCAGGGAAGTGAGGAACCAGGAGGAGTCTCTGCTTGTAGGAAAGAAGAAGAGAAACACCATGCAGGGTCATGCATTCAGACTAAGAAGCTCCAGCGTATCCCAGTCCACCAATCATGGTAACAGGATGCTAGCGGAGTTCCAACTACCCCACTCAGGGTCACCCATTCAGAGTGAAGTGCTCTAATACATCCTAGTGCACACATCAGGGTCACAGGATACTAGCCAGGAGGCCAGAAAGCCCACCCAAGGTCACCCACCTAGCCAAAGAGTGACAGGGCACCCAGGTGCTTCTCCCCAAAACTTGAGAGCTCAACCACATCTTCAACAGCCCAACATAATGTCATTAACCTCAGCAAGGAATCACTAAGGACCCTAGTGCCTAAACCATGGAGACACTCAGATGCAACTCCACATTGAATAAAACTAGGTACCCACACACAGACTACACAACTCCATCTACCCAGAAGCAATACTAAAATATGCTAATCAATGGTCAATATAAAACACATCTACAGGAGGAAGTCTGTCTCCTCAACTCCCACTCCAGAGTAATAGAAGAAGCAATTGCTCTTCTAGATGACCAGACATCAATGTAGAGATCCTAGAAATTTGATAGAACAAGAAAATATGACACCATCAAAGAAATACTATAATTCTCAAGTAGTAGACCCCATAGAGCATGAAACACTTGAAATGACCAAAAAGTATTTCTGGGCAACAATCTTAAGGAAACTCAATGATATACAAGGAGACTCAGATATACACCACAATGAAATGAGAAAAGTTATCCAGGATATGAAGGAAGAAATTTATGAAAGATTAACACCTTTAAAAAGGATGTAGCAGAACTCCTGGAACTGAAGGATTCATTCAGAGAAATAAAAAACACATCCAAGAGCTTAAGCAACAGAATAGAGCAATCAGGAGAAATAACTTATGATCTTGAAGACTGGAGGACTTCAAAATATTTTTTCAAAATAACTTAGGACTAAAAGGAAAAGAAAAAAGAATTTTAAAAAATGAAGAATGTCTAAGAGAGCTATCAGACAAGCTTAAGTGCACAAACATCCAAATCATGGGTGTTCTGGAAATGGAGAAGAAAGGGAAAAAAAAGCATAGAAAATACATTCAACAAAATTATAGCAGAAAACTTACCAAGTGTAGGGAGAGACATGGACTTTCAGATCCAGAAAGCTCAAGATCCCCAAACAGACTCACTTCAAAAATGTCCTCTACAAGTCACATTATGGTCTAACAGGTAACACTCAAAGAAAGAATCCTAAAAACAGCGAGAGAAAATCTTCAAGTCATTTATAATGGAGTCCCCTCAGACTAACAGCAGACTTCTCAACAGAAATTATACAGGCCAGAAGAGAATGGGATGATATATTCAGAACACTAAAGAAAAAACCTGCCAGCCAAGAGTGTTATAACCAGCAAGGCTATCATTCAGAAACAAAGGAGAAGTAGTGTATTTTCTGGAAAAACAAAAACTGTTGGGTGTTCACCACCACACGGCCAGCACTACAAGAAACCTTGTAATGCATCTGGAATCCAAAACACAGTAACTATAACCATGAATGCACAGGAAAGGACAAAACCCACTGGTAGAAAAAAATGCAATTGAGAAAGTGAAAGAAACTATGCCATGCCACCTCAAAAAACCAAGGAACACTGAAGACAAACAGTAAAAGGTAAAAAAGGAATGAAAGATACTTTAAAACCCTAATGAAATTGATAGAATGCCAAAAGTAAGACAGTACCTTCGAATAACAACCATAAATGTTAGTGGATTTAATTCCCCACTAAAAAGGCCGACTGGCCAAATGGATTAAAAAACTAGACCCAATGATGTGCTGTTTACAAGAAGCACATGTCACCTGTAAAGACTCATATTGAGTAATAGTAAAGGGATGGAAAAATATGTACCACACAAATGGAATCCGAAAATGAGCAGGAGTAGCAATTCTAATATGAGTTAAAATAGACTTTAAACCAAAAATCATTAAAAGAGACAAAGAACCCCATCATATAATGATAAAAGAATCAATCCAGCGAGAAGACATAAGGCTCCAAACTGGTCAGCTGCCACACACAAAAAATTCTCTTAAAAAAAGAAAAGAAGGGCCGGCCTGGTGGCGCACTGGAGAGTGCGCCACTTCGGAACGTGGCGGCGCTCCTTTCGAGGGTTCGGATCCCATGTGGAGACCGGTTCCCGCTCGCTGGCTGAGCACGGTGCGGGCGTGACACCGAGGGTTGCGATTCCATTGCCGGTCAGTAAAAAAGACAAAAAGGAAAAAAAAAGAAAAGAAAAGAAGACATAATAATCACAAATATACATTCAATCAACACTAGAGCACTAAGATATATAAGGTGAACACAATTAGACCTAAAGAAAGAGATAAACTCCAATGTAATAATACTGGAGGTCCTGAGTACCCCTCTCTCAGCCTTGCACAGGTCATTTTGCCAACAAACCAACAGACAAACACGGGATTTAAACTCACTTTAGAAGAATTGGGCTTGGCAGATTCTACAGCACATTTCATCCAATGACCAGAGAATATACATTCTTCTCATCAGCATGGACCATTCTCCATGGTGGAAAATATGTTAGATCACAAATCAAGTCTCAACAAATTTTTAAAAATTGTGATCATTTCAAGTATCTTTTCAGACTGCAACTGTTTAGAAGTACAAATCAATACCAAACAAAACTCTGGAAACTGTACAAATACATGGAAATTAAACAACATGCTCCTGAAAAACCTACGGGTCCAAGAAGGAATTAAACAGGATATCAAAGAAATTATTGAAACCTTGAAAACAAGGGCACATCATATCAAAACCTGTGGGATGCTCAAAAAGTAATACTAAGAGGGAAGTACATTGCAATAAATGCTTACATGTAAAGAATAGAAAGATTTCAAATAAACAACCTAATGCTACATCTCAAAGAACTAGAACAACAATAATCCAATCCCAAATCAGTAGACAGAAAGATTATTTAAGATGAGCAGAACTTAATGAAACAGAGACCTAAAAAGTGATACAAAAGGTCAGTGAAATGAAAAGTTGTTTTTTTGCGAAGATAAACAAAATATACAGACCATTAGCTAGGCTTACTACAAAAAGAAAAAGAAGATGCAAATAAAGAAAACAAGAAATGAAGAAGAAGGCATTACAACTGATACGACAGAAATACAAAGTGTCATTAAAGACCATTATAAATAACTAAACAACAAGAAATTCAAATGCTGGAGGAAACGGATGCAATTCTGGACACACACAAACTACGAAGATTAACCAAGAAGAAATAGAAAATCTGAACAGGCAAAGGACAAGAAATGAGATTGAAGCAGTATTCACAGTCTCCCAATGAAGAAAAGCCAAGTATTGGACAGCTTTACTGCTGAATTCTATAAAACCTTTAAAGAAGAATTAATGCCAATTCTCTTCAATCTATTCCAAAAAAATTAAAAGAGAGGCCATTCTCCCAAACTCATTCTATGAGTGACAGCTTTACTGCTGAATTCTATAAAACCTTTAAAGAAGAATTAATGCCAATTCTCTTCAAACAATTCCAAAAAAATTAAAAGAGAGGCCATTCTCCCAAACTCATTCTATGAGGCCAGAATCACCCTGATACCAAAATGAGACAACGATAAGACAAAAAACAGTAAAGTACAGCCCAATATATTTGATTAAAATAGACAAAAATATCCACAACAAAGTATCAGCGAACAGAGTACAGCAACATGTTAAAAAGATTATACAGCACAATCGAGTGTGATTCATCCCAGGGACGTAAGGATGGTTCAACATATATAAGTGAATAAATGCGATTTACCACTTTGTCAAAATCAAGGACAAAAACCATAG